ACAGTGCCACGTTAGCGGTGCCACGTCAGCAACAGTGCCACGTCAGTAGTGTCACGTCAGCAACAGTGCCACGTCAGCAGTGCCACGTCAGCAGTAACAGTGCCACGTCAGCAGTGCCCCGCCACCATGACGGGCGCAGCTCTGGGCATGCCAGGCCAACTAGCCAACGAGTCTATTGCCGACCACAAACAGCGGTTCCAGACTCAGCTCGCACTGATCGACGCTGAGGAACAGCGCCAGCTGGCAGCCGAGGCTGCCCGCCTACAGGCTGAAGCAGCGGCAACAGCTGAGAAGCAGCGGCTTCAGGCCGAAGCAGATGCAGATACCTAGGCACGCCGAAAGGAAGCCCAGGATCTGCTGCAGCGGCATGAAGCCGCCAGCATCGAAAGACTCGAGCTTTGGCACTTTGAACCATTGGAAGGGTATGACGACGCGACACCGGAAGAGCAGCACTGGGAATTCATGGCCAAGCTCATAACCAGGTTGGTTTACACTTGTAACCACCTGCAGTATGAGCTGGCAAACCTCTAGTGGGCCGTACGGAACCACAAGACTCGAGGATGCAGCACGGGCACTGGATTCCTGTGTACAGGACTTGGAGCAAGTAGCACCAAGACCGGAGGCTGGCGAGCCCAGCAATGCACCCTCTACCCGCCAACTGGAGGAACGTGTCGACCACGTCGTCGCAATGCTCCGCGACATCAGCATTTTTGAGGCGCCAACCACCATCGGCAAACAGCTGGATACATTGAAGACTGAGGTTCAGCAATTGCAACTGCCTAACAAGGATGGCAACAGCACAACGAATTACAAGATGCCGACATTCCAAATTGAGAAGTTCGATGACTACAGGCATCAAGACCCGGTCCTCTGGTGGGAAGGCTTTACGACGCAACTTTGGATTCTGTTCGTCGCCAAGCACGCGTACATCGGCGCCCTGTTTCTCAACTCAAAGGGCGGATGCCAGATCTGGTTGAGCCACCTGGCATCGACCCACGACGTCGACGTCGCAGATCTGAAAGACAAGATATCATGGGAAGAGTTAACACGACTATGGAAGAAGCGGTTCATCGTGGACGACGCACCTGCACTCGCCATCAACCGTCTCTTCGGCATGACGCAAGGCAACACAGCAACACGTGATTGGCTCATGAAATGGCAGAAGATCGCGGCAACGCCCGGTCTCGACATGCCATTTTCGCATCTGCGCCGCGAGTTCTACAACAGGTCATGTGCTGCATTGAGCCTCGCACTTGGTGATCGCGAGCAATATGCAACCTTTGCTGAAATCATTGACAAGGCGAGGGAGATCATCGACACCAACAGGGCGGCTGCACACGAGAAGTCAACGTGGCAACCAACCTATGTGGAGAAGGTGAGAACTGGTCCGCGACCGCAGCAATTCGCTGCAGTCCAAACGGACAACACTGTGGAAGACCCGGCAGCCACCCAAGTATCACGTGAGGGAGATCAGGTGGCTGCTGACCAGCCGCGAAGCAACAACAAGCCCCGAGGAAATGGGAAGGCGAAAACCGCATCGCCGGCTGGAAACGGACAACCAGCACCATGGGTCAAGTTTACCTTAACCGAGGCCGAGTACAAGTACCGCGGCCGCTACGGCTGCTGCTATTGGTGCAACAACACCAAGCACAAGACCTCCCAATGCCCTGATCAAGGCAAGGAGGATGTTCAGCCTCGTATTAACTCGGGAAACTGAGTCGTGCAGGAGGTGAGGCGACTCCACCTCTCACTCCGCCAGATTCGGCCGCCTTGCTAGCGGCCTCCTACACATCTGGGGAG